TTCTATTCTATTCTATTCTATTCTATTCTATTCTATTCTATTCTATTAATATTCTATTCTATTCTATATTCTATTGTATTCTTCGTGTTGTTTTAGTGGTTCCATTGTCTGTGGTTTGGTGGATTTTCTCACTAAGCTAATACACTCCCCTTCAAAAACCAAAACTATCATAGAGAAGAGGGTGTCAAGCTATTTTCCAAGGCACCCGAAGGGCAGACAAGGAACAATGGATGGAAAGTGAACAAGGAGAGATTCAGCCTGGAAATAAGGAGGAATTTTCTGATGGTGAGAACAATCAACCGATGGAACAAAAGTTCCCTTCGGAAGTTGTGGGAGCGCCATCACTTGAGACCTTCAAGAAGAGACTGGACTGCCATCTGTCAGAAATGCTGCAGAATCTCCTGTTTGGGAGGGGGGGGTTGGACTAGATCAGAGGTCACCAATTGGTGGTCTGCGGATCACTGGTGGTCCATGAGAAAATTTTGGTGGTCTGCAGTGCACCTGGGTGGAGGAGCTGCTCCAGGATGACCAATGGGCCAGTCCTGTGACTAGAGCTGTAAAATATGGGACCGGTCAGGCAGCTGGTGGTGGGGCTGGAAATCTCCACCGTACAGGGAGGTATGTGCAACTTGCAACTTTAACAGATTTAACAGATAATCAGAGTTGGAAGGGACCTTGTAGGTCATCTAGTCCAACCCCCCACCCAAGCGGGAGACCCTACACCATTTCTGGCAAATGGCAGTCCAATCTTTTCTTGAAAGTCTCAAGGGATGGCGCTCCTACAACTTCCGAGGGCAAGCTGTTCCATTGCTTGATTGTTGACCCCTTCCTCTCTGTGGCAGCCCCTTAAATACTGGAAGACTGCTATCATGTCTCCCCTGGTCCTTCTATTCACTAGACTAGCCAAGCCCAGTTCCTGTAACTGTTCATTGTATGTTTTAGCCTCCAGTCCCCTCATCATCCAGGTTGCTCTCCTCTGTACTTTTTCTAGAGTCTCAACATCTTTTTTTTTTATAATGTGAACAAAAGTGGATGCAGTACTCTAGGTGTGGTCTTACTAAGGCTTTTTAGAGTGGTATTAGGATCTCCCTTGATCTTGATTGTATACCTCTGTTAATACAATTTAGGATTGCATTAGCTTTTCTGGCTGCTGCTGCACACGGCTGGCTCCTATTTAGCTGGTTGTCCACTAAGACTCCAAGATCCCTCTCATAGTTACTGTTATTGAGCCTGGTTTCATCCAGTCTATATGTGTACTTTTGGTTTTTCTTGCCTAAGTGTAGGACTTTACTTTCTCTACATTGAATTTCATTTTGTTAGATAGGGCCCAGTGTTCTAATCTGTCAAGATCCATCTGGATCTTGAGACTATCTTCTTGGGTGTTAGCTATTCCTGCCAGCTTAGTATCATCTGCAAATTTGGTAGGTTCCCCTTCTATTCCCTCATCTAAGTCGTTAATGAAGATATTGAAGAGTACTGGGCCTAAGACAGAACCTTGTGGCACCCCTTTGCTTACTTCCCTCCATGTAGACTTAGATCCATTAAGGACTACTCGTTGAGTACGGTTTGCCAGCCAGTTGCAAATCCCTCTAGTGGTGGCGCTATCTATTCCACTTTTTTCTAGCTTACTAAGAAGTAGGTTGTGGTCTACATTGTCAAATGCCTTGCTGAAATCTAAATATATTATGTCCATGGTATTTTGCTGGTCTACTAATTTAGTCACTGTGTTGAAGAATGAAATATGATTGGTTTGGCATGATCAACATGATTAACAAACCTGCTAGTTATTACATGTTTCTCGATGTTGGCAGATCTGTTTTTTTTATTCTTTTCCAGTATCTTCCTGGGTATTGATGTTAGGCTGATTGGTCTATAGTTTCCTGGGTCTGTTTTTTTCCCCTTTTTTGAAGATGGGAACCACATCAGCTCTTTTCCAGTCCTCTGGTAGTTCCCC